AAAAAAAAAAAAACTGAGTTCTGAACTACTTCAATTTACAAAGTATGCATACAGTACCATACAACCAACCTAAGAAAATGGAGAATATTTTTGTAAATTGTCAAACTATTTAAGCAAAGAGAAAATCATTCTACACTATATGAATATAATTATTGATGAAATTCTTTCTTCCACGTGTAAAATACAAACTTCGAAAAGAAGATTTTCAGCGGTAGTGGTGAATTGTAATCTTAACAATAAAAAACCTTTGATAAAAGATGAAACATTACCAGATGATTGCAACACATTAAAAAGAAGTGAAAATGTCAATATGGCAGCAAACAAGATGTTCTGTCAGGTATGATTGAAAACCGTTCGGTAATAAAAATAATTGAAGAAATACCTAAACGTATCCCTCACTGATTACTTCTATTTCTTATATCATTGGTAAACCTAAACACGTTAACTTGCCAGAGTAAAAGCTTCTTTAATGGATAAAGGTTAATTTGATAGGATTTCTATGCGGAAAAGCTAATATTATAAACCTTTTTGGGAAGAGACGATACTTGGCTGTGTTTTACTTCTAGCAGAGAATGTACTACACTTTCTCCAGCATTTTCCCTTATCGGTTTAAATTGGTGATTTTATAACATTAATACAATGGGAAACACAAACAGGAAAAGAAATACGGCAATTGGAGGGGTGAAAGTTCAGGAAGGATTGGTCATATCGCAGACTAAAAACAGTAGTCGGATGAAATGGATGAGCAGACAGATCATTTATGTTCGAACAACTATGACAAATAGCTCTTTTATTATTGGAAGATTAGTGACTTTTGTAGCAATTATATTCAATAAATTTTCAAATTTGCATGAAAAATGAAGCATTTCCTTATAAAAGTATTGTTAAACTTTTTATCAAAGATTCAGTAACAATTTCACCGAAAAAAGTTTGTTTTTTAAAATGAAATCTTAAAAATCTCTGTGTCAATTAAATGGAAAAAAAAATCAATTAAATTGCTCGATAATATGACCAGCGGCTATTTTGCTTCACCTTCGTCTGTTGGAAAATTCAAAAATTGCTGGAGGATACATCCATTTATTACTTTTAGTCATGATTAACCTCCAAGTTCTTTCCTTCGTATCTATCAGACAGCTAAGAAGACTGATCATGCAAGAATAAATGCTCGCAGATGAAACTTTTAATGGACATGAGCTTCTATTCCGGACAAAATTACGATCCAAAACGAAATTAAAAATCACTGTTGACATTCAGTCTACACACTGATTTCTGCCTTTGTAGAGACTAAGAAAAAGCGCAGAGCGCCAAAAAATAGAAAATTATTTTGAAATTCAGGAATTATTCCGAACCATACCTCCTAATAGCACCTTACAGAGTTACTGACATCTGTAATGTTAGTAGAAAGAGTCAAGAATCGAAAATGGTCCGTGAACTTGAGAAGGACAACAGCGACAATAACAGCTTCATTAAATGTCATTGCCTACATGTGCTGGTTCGTATCATTGACAGCAAACTTTCTATATTGTGGAATGAAGTGGAGTATGGTAAGGGGGACATTGCTAATGGAATAGGTCCATTAGTTTAAATATCTCTCCTGTTACATGATCTACAGTTGACTTCTGGTTTTTTTTTTTGTTCAAGGACTAATGGAAGGGAATGAAGAGGGAATGATAAGAGACATTAAGAAGTGTAGAAGAAGACAAATTGTCCACCACGCATCAGGGGGTTGCCCCATTTTTTTCTGCCTCTTAAAATCATCAACAACCACTTTTGAAACTTTATTTTTTAATAATTATGTTGAACTATCCATGTCTTCTCATATTGCGTGTTGTAATTAAAGGCCAGACAAAACTTAAAATCTCTGGCCATACTACCGTAAATTCATGTCCATCATCCTTCACCATCCACACATGCACCTTCTTTGTCTTCTTCCCTACTCTATCCCATAATCTAATTATTTATAATTCCTTTCAGATTCTTTAAACTTATGCTAAATTTGCTCATTTGGGACGCTATAAACCTTTTCAAGCTAGCCACCATCATTTCAATTATCTAATGTTACTTGAAAAATGTTCAAAAAATAGTGATTTAAAAAACTTAAATTGTTAAATAAAATTTTAGAACTTCAGAAAAAAAATTAGAAGAAGTTCTTTTTCTTCGAAAAATTGGATTCTTTGCTGTTCTCGGAAAGGTATTCAAATAAGACTGATTGTAGATAATTATAATGAAATGATATACATTAGAACATTCGGGAAAATGTGAAAAACTATGCTTTTGTCAGAAAGCTTGATCATCCTAGTGTTATATATCTCCGTGATAATGACATCTTTCTTGGTTTCTCATAAAATTTACCGGGAAAGCCGACAAGAAGTTTTAGGGTGTAACTTTAAACAATAAGCTAATGTAAGTTTCTACATCTTCTTAAGGGTTTTCAAAAAATTGGCGATATGATGTCACTTTTGAAGTTCAATATCTGAGAAAAATCAGTTCATTTGAATAGCTAATGAATTATTAGATTTGCATTGTCATTTGTGATAATTCCGATATAATGTGACAGAATTGACGGAACTAGTTGCTCCCATCGGTGTATTTTCATAAATTATAATTCATAATTAGAATGGAGAATTTGGCCGATTCATTTTTATATCTAAAATATTGGTGGAAAAGGTGTGTTTTTCGTATGCACAACCTATTTTTGTTGTAATTTCACTAATTTTGGAATTTTTAGGAAACTGCACTAAAAAAATAATATCATTGATTTCAAGTGATGCAGTTTCGAAAAAATAAGATAGTGCCAAATTGTACTGTCTCGTTTTTTCGAAACCGCTTATTTTATCCATTCCCAGTATTTTAATCTCTATATAATTAAGTTTCTATTCAGTTTAACATGATTACCAGTACAATATTCATGCATTTTTTTTCAGTACAGTAAGCCGAGTTTAATGCCGAGATCGCCCATGATAAATGTTAAAGCAAAATCAAATTCGTTGAATAATGTAGGTGCTTCTCATTATCGACAGGTTAGTGCTTATTTCAACTTTTCTTAATGATATAAAGCAGTATGATCATTTGATACCTGATTTTAATTTTACTCTTTAGTCTTTTAGGCGTAATTGTTCATCATAAATAATGCTAATGAATTTTCAACACTTTAATGCTATTGAAACTCTCAAAGAACGACAGAATTTTTCTAAAGTATTTAAATTTTAAATTATTACTAAGCAAAATGACACTGAGGAAATCGTTCATGAATTTTACATTTTTCCAATAGAAATAAGAAAATTTCCAAAAGATTTTCAGATAGCCTTGGATACGTGCAATCTTTCACACCAAAATGGCTTCGGGTAGTTTTTCTGTTTACAAAAATTTAAGCATAAAAGATTAAATTCTGAATCAGTAGTTATCCGAATTTTATTAAATTTATTTCATCAATTTTGCTATTGATTCACTTCGATTCATTAATAACTTACAATTTCTACGTGTTTTACTCATTGCATGAGAACAAGAAGTAAGCAGGGTACTAATCAGAAAGAGTTGGAGCAGATGTTCGAAATTAAAATGGATCATAAGAATCCAAAATTTAATAAATAGTTCGAATTTAGTTACTCGAAGTTATATTTTTGAAAGTTTTTAGTTCCTTAAGATTAAAGTTCAAAAACTTTACAGAAGTGTAATAAACAATAATATTTCTTTGAAGAAATTCAATCATTTGGTGAAAAAACAAAACAAAATGACCAAGAAGAATAAGAGCGAGTAAGGTCTAATGGATTATTCGATTGCTGCATCAGACTAATAAGACTATTTCGTAATTTATCTACTAGTGAATTATCGGTTTAGTTGTATCTGTTTGACTGCTTCAATAGATTACTGTTATGTTTTGAGAAGGAGCATTCAGGGAAGTAAACAATCTTTGTTATCAAAAAATCATTTATGCAAAATTCTATCCATCAAAATCAGACAAGTAAGTAATAGCTTGAATTAATGTAGTGAGGACAGATGAACTCATTAATTAATCATGCAATGACATTAGTGCGATATTTTATAGTACTTATAACTTTTGCATTATGTTTATTGGCAACCACACAGCAGCCAAAAAGGAAACTGTTTTCTATGTTCCTAAATCGATGATCTTAAAAATTTGGCTTTAAAAAGTACTTTGAGCTGATTTTACAATAATGATTACAGTTATCCTTGCAACAAATTGTTACAATATCCAAAAAATGCTTTTTTTTTTTTATGGAATTATGACACTGTATGACAGTCCACCAAAGACTTTATGTTTCTGCAGAGGAATAACAGTTATATAATTCGATTCAATTTCAGATCAGTTGAAATTGCGCGAGATGCAGGTGGTGAAGAATGGATACAGGTTAGTTATAACGGGAAATGGTTAGAAAGGAATCTTCAAATCGATAGAAGATAATATAATTAATTGGAAATGTAACACTTTTGGCTGAACAAAATTCATAATTCTCCTAGCAATAAGCAAAATAATACTAACAATTCACATAATTCGTGTAATAGTTCAACCTTGGAAATATCCTAACTTTTGGACTTTTGATGAAAACAGCAAAAGTGATTATGTCTGCTTCCTGGATCATTAGTACTGTTTGATTGCAATTATCCTTTTACCTGTTTTTGAGGCTGTAGCTGAAGTATATCATTCTCCAGTTGATTTTTCAACGAATAGTAGCACTTTAACATTGGCAGAAAGGTTGAAAATTGCAAATTATAAGGTAAAATAAAACAATTCCTGAATCTAAATTAGTATTAAGCCAATGAATGTTTGACGCGTAATAAAACATTTCTTTGGCTCCATTCCTGAAGAGTAAACTTATCTCTGAGATCCGAATTAACTTTCCAATACTCTCAAATAAATTATGACTACTAGAATAGAATGTAACATGCCATCTTCAAAATATATTGTTCAACATCATATGGTGATCGAAATGAATATTTTAATTCCTGCTTCTACAGAGTGCTCAGATGAAATATGAAGTAGTGAAAAAGGAAGTTGAGAATAATCCTGAAATTCTGAAAACTCATCTGCACAAGATTGTACATCGTAATATGCCGGGTTATGGCTATCATCAAAAGGGTGAAAAAAAGGTAATTCCTAGCAAATTTAATAGGAAAATGTCCAGAACAGAGACACATTTGGTTCTCGCTCCGTTTAACAGCTTAAACATTTACCAGAATGTCATTGATGGCAAGCATATCAAAGAACCGGGAACTTACACCTGTATGGTACAGAAAAAGTTATTAGAACAACGTTTGGGTGATGAAAATTGTCGGCTTATCGAACCCAAAGTGAGTTGTGCTCCTTATTTCTTTCAATTGTAAACTTCATGTGATACTTCACTATGCAGGACATTAATCATTTTATTTCTATTATTTCTTCTAGTTTAATATGGCCAATTTTAGTTAAGCCACTTTGATCGGTTACATACAGTAACTAGCAATTTACCTTGCAAAAATTAAGTGATCAACATAAGCTGATGACTCACACCTACTAGGAATTTCCAATTCAGGGGAAATAATTGCAATTTCCGATCTTGATCACAGAGGACTTTCAAGGGGTTATCAGTTTCGATAATGGTTACAGCACGCTAATTCCTCCAGTGTAGCGCGCATGTAGCCCTTTTTTAAAATTTCAGTCTCTGTTGCAAAATTCTGAGTGCGTCAACATTCGTTCATGCATTATTTCAGGATTATAATTCAGACTTGAAGGAACTGAACTTATTTGGTATGGTCTTGGTCTAAGTGTTAATTGTTGAAGAGAGATGTTCTAGAGCAATGCATAATTAGCCTTGCAGACAAGAACTCAGTGAATGATATGATTAAAAAAAGTGCCAGGAATACAGTACTCGCAGAGATGATGTTGTATGATGTCCGTTATGATAATGCATGGAAATCCGATTATAAGAAGGAATTCAACAGCAGAGGCAAAATGAAACCAGAAAATCGTCCTGCTTGGGTTCTTCCTCTTCAGGGACTCTGCAATAAGATACGGCTTTCGTTAAATTTAACTGTAAAATTCATGATCTCAATAATTACCACCAATAATAATTATCAACCGGTTTATTGACAACTTGTTACGAAAATATGAAAATCCGATTGCTGATAAGCCTTCTCATCATTTATAAGTGCCATTTTTGATAGCTAACACCTGCAAGGGGGCGAGCATGAGCAAACTGCAAACACATGCAGTACTTGTGGAAGTGCATGCATTATCTATGTATTGCAGGATACAGCTGTTTCTGGCAGTGTATTTCGGTTGAATTTTATTATATTTTATGAATAGCAATCCTTTCTCAAACGATTGTCCATTTTCCTCAAAGTATGGCCTCATATTCATTGATGATATTATGGTGCATTGTATAATTTTGAAAAAATGACATGTGAAGGGCTATTTGTTCGGTAAGCTCGTTATATATGTCTGGCTAATTAATTGGAATGTGATAGTAAAGATTTGTTTTAGATTGGTATCAGTAGCGATTTCTTTACGAGAAACGAAAAAGTGGATCTCGAAGATGCGCGTTCTTTCATCCTCTATCACCGGCTTACACGAATTCCGGTAATCTGAATTGCATTTTGTATTGAAATATTCAGTACGGAATCTTTATTTTTATGAAGTACTTCTTTCAAGTTAAGATTATTACTGCGATAGTATTTGCAGGAAGTGAGCAAATGGTTAGAGAATGATGAACTAAACTACAGAAATAGTAATTTAGAAGAATTTTTTAAGAAGGATTGGGATGGAAATGGAATCATAAGACGCATGAATGAATTCAATCGAAATGTGCAGAATGATTTGGATCGAGTTCGACTTCATGATCGATGTATATTTTCATGTTTACTTTCTAGAAAAAAAAATCTTGCAGAAGGAATTTATAAATGTAAGATACTGTTTTGCTGAACTTAGAAGTGCTAACTAGTCTATCTGGCAAGGGAAATATAGTTTAAGTGCTACTTCTCATTTAATACTTATGCACTACTTTTAATATTCGTTGATTGAATAAACAACCATTAAGAGATGCCAAGGAATGGTAAGGGAGACAGTTATTTAGTTTACAATAATATCGTGATGTGGGAAGCACTGATTGGAAGTCGGAAACAGGTTTATATTCGAACTATGATTGGTGGCATGGAACGCCGGTTTGAAATTCTAGATAATCAAGTGAATCATATTGTTTTCACCCATCATGCATTTGACGAACATCTCGATTTGTGTCGCAATATAAGTAACTAATTTCATTAAAAGTCATGGAAAGCACAACAGTATGAAATTTTTAGACAAGAAGAAAATTTTTGAACAAACTCTTTAATTGAATCTTTCCTGTTTTTATTTTTTACTTGGGAACAATACTTTTGATCTGAAATGTCACAATAGGAATTAAATGTCGTGACTCAACTCGTGTCGTACTGACTTATCCGAATGCTGCAAACAATGATTTCATTCATGCGAATTATATTCAAGGCGGACCGCTTTTTAATAAATTTATCATTACACAGGTATGAATTTATCTTTTATCTATCTGAATCTGCAAGTGAGATTCATTCCTCCAATAATACACTGACAGGAAAAGAGTTTCCTTCTTTAGGCGCCCATGGCAAATACAATTGGTGATTTCTGGCGTATGGTTTGGCAAGAGAGATCACCTTATATCTTTATGCTTATAAGTCGAAAAGAAGATAAGAGATGTGCTCAGTATTGGCCAAGGCTAGCATTTTCTATACAGTATTTTTGTACTTTTTAAGAGAACTTTATTTAAGAAATGTACGGATAATTGCATACCTGCTAATGGTTATCTTTCCAAGGCCTAAATTTTTTACTTATTATTTCATCTTGAAATGAATTTATCCAACAAGAATTAATGCATGTGTTCAACTAGTCTTATATGAAAAACTTATATGAGATTATACTTATTAGATTGTTTTAGATTAAATAAACTACACCTTTTTATTATCAATTAAGCATGCGCTGTTTTCTTCTTTTTATAGAAGAACTGGAGATCAGATAACCTATTATGGATTGACAATTGTCAATTCAGCCGTGGACGAATTTCGTTTGCCATTGTTTCGTGTCACATATTTGATTGTGATTGGACCTGAAGGCGATGAAGTATACGTTTAGTCTATTTCCTGCTGATATATTACTAATATATTGTTAATCTTAAAATCCCTGAAGATTTTGCATGGAAATGTATTATATAAAATTTAGCACAAATGAAACTTGCTTTGGTTACTTCAACTTGACCTTTCACCTTCAAGTTTTGTTGTACGTTTGAACTCTTGTCCATTCAGATCAATTTTTACAGTTACGTGTTGAGCACTGGCAAGGTGATATGAATAATTCAGACAACGTTGCGTTACCTTTACAATTGTTAAGACTTGCTCGGAATTGTTCTTATCCAACAATCATACATTGTCATTTGGGGATAAGTCGATCTGCTGCACTGGTTGCTGCTGAAATCTGTATCGCCTGTTTGCTCAAAGGACCGCCATATAAGGTTAGCCAACTATCGGTAGTTCATCTGTTTAATAATTTGTTTCGAATTTAATGGCGCTTAGAAGTTGATTGTATAACATTGGTCCTGATATTGATGAAATTAAGATGTCAGGAACTTTATCGTTGCAGCACTGCGTGCAGAAGGCAGTACAGTTACTGCGCTCACAACGACCATTTTGTATCGAAACGCCAATGCAGTACATATTTATACATCGAGTAGTGCAGAAGTTCTTGCACGATTATGTAGGCGACCCAGAAGGCTTTCATATGGAATATAAGGACTGGATTGAAGCACGAGCTATGAGACCATTTATTGACGATATCGAACAAAGGGTGAATGCTTACCATGTAATTCCTGAAAGAAGTTTAGATTTTAAGATGTATAAAATCAAAGTAGCAGAAGTAGTATCTGCTGCTATCAAAGTATTATAAGTAAGGTTTATTCCTTATGGAAATTCATTCAATTTTTAACGAAGCATATAACTGTTCACATGTTAAAATGGGATGAATTACATCATGGAATATTCTCAGTCGAATACTTTCAATTATGAACTGCTGGTTCTAGATTCCTGGATATCGCTTACTATCGCCACGTCTTGATCCTGACTTAATTCGATTGGTGCGACATCGTGAACGTCCGGATTGTCGTCGTGAGACTCACGATTGTGTTGGACAGATGCCGATACCCTTGCAAGATACTCGAGAACAACGCTTCGAAGAACTGCAGCTAACGAAACGTTATCCACGAGGCGGCCGATATGATTGAAATTTCTGGCTCATCAGATTTCGCAAAAGCAATAGATCTGAAACCAGTAGATTGCTATAATCATTTATATTTTAGGAATAGGGAATTAGAAATGGAATGGAATTTCGAATACATAACGGATAGCCTATAATTTACCTCCTCAAGGTATTGTTACGGTCGTACTTTCGGTTAATATGCTAATTTTTAATTGTTTTACTATTTCTCTGCTATCTTTTAAAGTAAAGAATTTTCTGTTAATTTTCACTTCGAAAATGCAAGGTATTTTTTTTCCACTTCGGAAATGAAAATCTTTTTCCCACTGCATTTTCACCTTTAAAATTTGAGAATGATTTTTCGCTGAAAAAATCAAATTAATTTCTTCTTATAAAATGACTAACATACCAAAGATATTTTCTTCAAAGTTTCAATCTTTTTAGTATATTGTTCAATTAAATGATAAAGCATAAAAAGGAAATCGCCAACAAAAGACAGAAATCAATGTAAATAATTGGTTTATGTCTAATACTAATTTCCAATATTCTTCATCAGGAAAACCCGATTGTAGTAATCGGTTATCTAAAAACTTTTCCCGAGTCCGGTAAATGGATTAGTAAATTAGGTGAGGGAGTTTAATTGAAAAGATTCACTGGGTGGTTTTTAATTTATTTTCAGGATTACTATTTGAGAGAGAGCTGATGATGATGGTGAAATATTTATATATATATTCTAGGCAAGAAGTTTATGCACTAGAGTAATAGGACTTATACACCGTTATGAAATGCTAAAAGTTTTTCCAAAGCAGTTCCCCTGTTTAACTTCATTGCACTTAATGATATTATCAAGGCTAAGGCAGTTTTTTTTTTTCCTCTAATTTTGTTAGTATTATTCTTCCTGCTTCATTTATTACCATAGAAAAAGATTAAGGGACGTCGCGTTTCATTTCCACTCTAAAGGATATCTCTTAATAAGGAAAAATCATCATTTTTTCGAACGTGACAGATTTAGTTGGCTAGAAAAGGCTTAGGTTGAATAAAGCAGTCGAATTATTTTCAGTTCCTTCGTTGGAAAACTTGTGCGATTTGGTGACAACAAGGATTAACAAATATTTTCAAATCGACCGTAGTTTACTGGTTTTACATTGTAACCACACGCCTTTTTTTTGGAATACAAAACTTTGAAGAAGTATGGAACTTTTATACTTCCAATAAAAAAAAGCTCCTCTTTGAAAATTCCCCACCATTCAGGTTTTCTATTTAATCAGACTGAACGACTAGTCTCTTAGATCAAGCCAGAAATTTCGTCTCCTTGATTACTGCTCGGATTTTTGGTTCTTTAAATTTTTAAAAAAGAAAATTTGATTACGTTAAACGACTCTTGTCATCTGAGGATAAATTTTAAAAGAGATTTCTTTAAGATATTTTTTGCTTCTTTTCCGTTTAAGAAACTACTTTTGATTGTATTGCGAAAAAATGAAGTTGTCACCATTTCGTGTCGAAAGCGCCAAAAACAGCTGAGAAAAAGTCTCATTCCGAATTGAGCTCCTACTTTCGGTTTCGCTAACAGTTTTAAATGAGTTTATTAAATGGTCAAGCAATACTCTCATTGTTTTATCTTCACTTTTGCTCAATCACCTGTTTCTTCCTACATAAACATCCGATATTTTTATTGTTAATCCATTCATTCACACTTTCATTCGCACAACGAGAAGTGCCCCCGCTTGGAACTTAATTCTTGAATCTTTCAAAACTTCAAACTCTCGATATCTTCAACAAATATTCCATTCTCTTTTCTCATATTTCACTGTGAGAGTTTTAGGAAAAACAGAATATATGAAATAGAAATGTGAAATATTTTTCTTCTTTTAAAAAATTCAATAAATTATCGAATAAACGTACTATTGAGTGAAGAGGTTACTTTCTGATAATTATACCATGAGAAAATACTTGGAATGTCACCAATTAAATGGATTTCAAGAGTTAATTTGTAAGTGTGAATGAGCAAGAAAGAGTGCTCTGTAAGCTCTTTGAAACTAATTATCTTCTTATTATTGGATCTGTTAGAATTTCTAGAAATGTTATTCATAACAGACTTCAATAATAATCCATTACTGAAATTTTGATAAATTAGAAATTTAAAAGGAAACTGAACGGTCGGGACGTACTTTGAACACACTTTTCGGTAGACATGAATATTAATTAGTATTGATTAGGATAGCATTCTTACGACTTATTCAAGATCGTGCTATTTTTCTACTTTCGTTTTGTTTGCTTTCCTTTGCTTCGCATTTATAATGTGGATCGTTTTGCCATTTATTACTTAAGAAAACAGTATAAGTCAAAAGAAGCCGAAATACTGATGACATGAAAACAGAATTTGACGTCAAAAGATTTGAGATTGTGTGATGGACAAGGCAAAGTGGAAGTTTTAGTTGTCAGTCGATTGCCAAAAGTGTCGTGAAAGTTACCGTGGTAACATATTACTTCTCTATAATTAATGTTTTTTCCATTTCACAAGTAAATTATTTTACTTCATTCCTTTTCTTGTTATCACCTTTTTTTTCACCTTTTTTGGCCGCAAAATGCTGTTTTAATATGATTTATGACCAAGTAAATTCGTTGCATAATGTCAGTTACATTTTCGAGTAGGAAAAAATCGTCAAGCTGGGGAAATAGAAGAGAGGTGTTAGAAATTTTTTGAGTATTCATGTTTCAAATTTCAAGTCAAATATAGGTATGATATAGTCGCAAATGTCCATTAGTGTGGGTTTTTAAAAAACTGGCCTTTAAAAAAAAGTCTCATAAGTATAAAATGATGCACAGAACCTCTCAAAGAATCTCACAGCTCTCTGGCTATTGCGATAAAATTTGTATTTCTATAGCTAGTCATCAAGACCCGAATTTCTGTCTTCCTTGCAGAAAATATATAATCGAGTGGAAGTAAAGTATCCAAAATGTACAAATAATCAAATGATAATGGTTTGGAGAACTTGAGAAAGCTAATTTATCATGGATCTATGGGATATACTTCAATAGAGAAAATCATTGGTTTAGCTTCCACTTTTCTCTTAAAATTTGAATATTCTCCAAACTGACTTAATAAGCTGTTTTAAGTTATGCTCGCAAATGTTTGTATTTGTAAATTTATTGATTTTCGTGACTCAAAATGTCATCCTTGACAACTTCTGGAATGAAGTCGATATCAGTTTCATTTTATCTTGCCCTTATCCATGAAACAAAGATCCTTTCGCTTGCCATTTAATACCATTTAATATCACATGCTAATCAACATTAACACTTTCATTTCAGTTCAACAATTTTGTTATAATCTTTTATAATTGATAATTATAGAGCAGATTTCATTCTGTACTCAGAAATAAACAATATAAATGAGAATTTGTTTAGTTGTAAAAAAAAATGTTTTTGGAAAGGTTTTTAGACCTCTGCAATTCAGATTCCATCTTATATTTCATTTATTATTCTGTTTTTTTTGTTTCCAACAGTACTCTTTCCATTGGTTAGCCTTACAAACAATTCAGTCAGATGTAAATAATTTGGTCTTTCTCTTTTTACCTCCCTTTGGATTTATTTCATTTTCAAGTTTATACTTGACTGGGTACATTGTTGTTTTTCTGGACAACCAATTCATCAGTGAAATTGTCACCCATAAGGATATTCTGGACAACCAATTCATCGGTGAAATTGTCACCCGTAAGGATATTGGCAGTCATTATTCTAAGATTATAATTTAAAATTCAGAAGTTGTGTCGATCTGGGACCATAGAAGATACTGTAATGATGTCACAGATCACAGAATCAAAATGTTGTAATATCGAAAACTTACACGTTCGATTTTTAATTAATTTTTTTCAATGTATCAAACAAGTTGCTGCACTAGAAATCAATATGTGTGTGTGTGTGTGTGTGCGTGTTTCTTTTTCAATCCTAAAAATAAACATGTTCGATATGAAAGTTTAATTCATCCTGTTTTTGGCAGTAAGAGCGAAACTCAATCACATTATTTAAGATTTGTTCTTTTATAAATTTAAGAGCTATCAGAGAGGAGTTTCTGTTAAATGAATTTGATTTGAAATATGTCTATACTTGCTTGCCTAAATTAAATAAATTCGACCAATACCTATTCTTGCCTTCTTTCTTTTACTCACACAAAATAAAAGTTTAGTGGATTGTAAATTTGAATAATGCAGCATTATTCAAGGTAGTTTTTTTTTCTTTTTTTTTTCACATAGGGAAGGAAAGTGTTTTTCAATTAAAAAAAGAAAAAAACAAATTGTAATTCAAGAAGGCATTTCAGTAAGTATTTGATACTAAGTTCTCATAAAGTATAACTGATTGCTGAGGACGACAGCTGTAAAGCGCAACTGATGTAGGGAAGACCATTTAGTAAGCATTGCGATCAACACTGTGATAGGCAAGATGTTGCATGAAATATACGTGATTTCTGATTCGTTTTAGCGATGATAAAGGATTTACGTGGTGTAAGGAACGACATGACATATGACTACGTGTGAGCATTGAGGACAGAATTCCTGCAAATTCAGCCATATGTCCGTGTTCATGTACCTGTATATCTGTGTTTTGTGTGAAGGTTATGACAGCATAACAGTTTTTTCTTTGCTTATAATGATGTATGAAGCGGTACTCAAGTAAAAAAAAAAAATACATGATTAAGTCAGTAAGACTACGATAAGTTGTTCAGTTCTAGTATTAATCTCTCTATGACGTCCATATTCCTTTTATGCAAATGCAGTTTAACTAACATCATCTCTTTTCCCGGTGATTATTAAATAATTTCCGCTTAAGTAAAGTTTAATTTCATTCTATATATTCCTTTCACTGTATGCTCCTTTTATAAGCTCCGTGTTCAGAATGACTCATTTGAAAATTTCAATCTTTGTATTAAAGCTCATCGGCAGTATCATCTACTCAAGTTTTCATCCCTCATAAGCGATACTCCTATCATTTAGTTATTTTAGGCGATAATAAAAGGTTCGGAATTCAGTTCCTTTTAATTACTTGCGACTTCTGTTGCCCATACTTTTTCCCTGAAACGATATAGGAAGAGGCAAAGAGATGTATATGGTTAGTTCTCCGCTAGGAAAACAATTTGTTTCCTTATAACTTGGCTCATGTGTACATAGCTTATAATTAAGATTTCGTTAGTTTTCGCTCCATTATTCATTCCAAAACTAAAGCACTCTGTTGCTTCTTATCAGTTCTTTGATATCAATATGTCAAGTTGGTATAGCTTGTATGCTAAAAATTAATTTTGTTTTATTAGACTTTAAGGCGGAACCAACGAAAGTGGTAAGGAAAGCTGATAAGATAATTAGGATAATTTCATGGAAAGAATAAATTATTTGGGAGAAAAAGTGGCAATTTCAAAAGCAAGTATGAGACGAGGAATGAAAGATAGGAAATAATAAACGATAGACGATATGCTAATACCATTTGCAAGTAAAATATGAGGATTGCAAATGATAATATATCTATACATAAAAGGAAATATTAATTAGCACTTTGCTTTAACAAAATTACAAATGAGGCAAGAAATTTAAATAATAGCAGCAATAAAGCAATAACAATTACTGTCAAAATATCGTACAATGGACAGAATTTTGGATTTCATTTTTTGCACGACAAAAATATTACTCATTCTTCCTAGTTATCGAGAAAATATTTTTCATACTTCAGCAATAAAAAACACTGGTAAGAATGAAAAATGGCGTGAATTACGAAATGGCCAATTCTTTTGTCAAGCATAGCAGAGAAAGGACAATGATCTTTTGTCACTTTTGATTTTCGCTACCATTCTAAAAAAGGTCATCATAAAACTAAAATGCAATTGATGAATGAAATTTATAGTTCAAAGACTGTATTATTATAAAAAATCTAGAGAAAATAACCGAAATAATTGAAGACTTAACAAACATCAAAGATTGATGCGTCTCAATGAAGAGTATGTTGCCAATATAAGGAAATGTCTTCGATTGGTAGTAGAAGCGATCAGCAGAGAACACAAATGATAATAAATTATCATTTGTGATGAAAACAAATTACCACTTGTGTTTTTAGTTGTAACTGAATCAGCATAAGGCATCAGTTCACTCCAAAGATAAAAACCTTGTCATAAGATTGTAAGGAAATCCTATCTGATCCCAAAATTTAATCTTAAGCTTTGCGCAAACATCTGCTGGTTGATATTTCTATTGACAATCAATGATTTGTTCCTCCACGTCGAAGGAAATGAATTTGGCGATGATCGATTTCTGTTATTTTGCTTGGGAAATAGTGGAAACTTGAAAATGCATAGATTTAGCATACAAAAAAAGTCTGAAGTTGACGTCAAATATTGAATTAAAATCTCAAATCGGTACTTTTTGAAATCCGAACAGTTTTAAAAAATTCATTTATATTTTACTGATAAATATCTTATTTCCAGTACTTTTAGACACTTAAATTTGAACATTTCCGAACAATCTGGCTTACAGCTAGATTGTCCAGATATTTGATCTTTTTGATACCTTTTTCTGATAAGGTTTTCTGAGTGATATCAATGGTATCAGAATTAATCACTTGCTTATGTTTGTAATTATTTATTGAGAAGGATTTAGTAAATTTCTTTTCATCCAAGCATGTATCAAATGAGAGTAAACAAAATGTTTTGGCTTTCACTATTTAACAGAAACCCTTAAATTAAGATATTTACGCTTCCAACTTCTCAAACTTTGATCCTAGTTCGAAATTATGGTCAAAAGTTGAAGGACAACTCTAAGTTAAGATAATTCGGTCCGATCATTGATCTTGATTATTTATTTATTAGCGTAATGAAGGAAAAAATTATCCTGTCTGCGTTATTTGAAATTTCCCATTTTTGATGGCTTCTACATTTAAATTTAACTTGTGATTAAGTGCTATTCATCCCTTGGCTAATGATATCATATTGTTGTCTAATCGTTTTGACACTTCGAAGCATGCAAGGTGTTTTCTTTCTCGAGCCTCCTTATGAATCTAGGAAGTATCATACGGGAAATTCACAACTTAACGTAAAGTCTACATAAGGCGACTCTGAACATTGCGTTGATCATTGTCTTTAGAATTTTAGTTATTTTTTAAATCGTAATGAATGCTGAAGTAATCAATAATAAAGTGAAGTCTGTTGTTGTTTTCAAGGAAATAGCTGGCAACGATATCGGGATGAAATTTATTATCAAATTATCAGATGAAAGTGATATACAGCAGCCAAAAGGACTATAATTAAAAGTTTGATAGTAAATCATCGAATAATCACTGAAATTAAAGTTAACTGTCATATACAATAGTGACACGTAAAAACGAAGCTGAAATAAATAATCAGAAAATGAGACAAATTGTGTAGTTGCATTTATACTGAATGACAAAATTTCCAGTGACCTTTTCAATGGAATATAAGTAATAATTTGTTGAGCCTAAAAATAAGTACAGAAAATTAGTGGGGATTTATTAAAAACGTGGATAAAAATAAGCACTGAAGAGGCATAACGATGAGACAAATGAAAAGGGGTGAATGCTTGGAAGGGCAGGCGACAAGGAAGCAAGTTGTTGTTGCGCAATTGGGCATTCCTAAATATTGTCAACCATTAACTCAGTTTCTGTCCTTCGTTTTGTTTACAGCATGTCTCATTTACTCTCACATATTTATCATTGAAAATGCTTCACTTTTCAATGTATTTAAATTTCGTTCACTTCATGCTTATTACATCGTGTTGTTAGCTCTATTATTTTATGCTAATGTCCATCTAAGAAGTCAGATTAATTTCAACATCAAAAAGATAAAATAAATCTAAGTTAGTGAAATTCCAGTTAATGTTTCAGTTAGTTAATGAAAGAATTAAGTATTCGCTGAAGTTTTTGTTCATCTTCTGGAATTGTTATTTTCTTTAAATATTTCTATTCTATCATCTCTTATTTCGATATCAGTTGAAACTTGGCTTCAAATATTTTATCTCTTTGATGTCGAATTAACTTAACTTTAAGAGGGATATAATGTGATTTTATTGAATGTGACGTGTGACGTTTTTTCGTTGTTACTTATCACTGTCACATTTACCTTTGTCATTTTGAACTGATATGAAAACGAAGCTTTTTTTTGGAACTCAAAATACTACACGATGTAGAGCATTTCCATCACTGATCTTATTGGAACTTCCCCAAACAGTTACGTGAAATGGCGTGATAATATAATAACAAGAAAATGTGGTCGATTGTTCGATATCAGAATATAAAGTGAAAAACTTTTTCATGATCGGATCTTGGCTTAAACCTGCACCCAAGCATTTCAGGATAATCGCAGATATTAAGGAACCTCGGGTACAATCACATCTGCCTATGTTATTACCATGCTTTAGTTTTTAGTTGAGAAGACTAAAAAGCATACAGGATTGATTGACGGCTGAGATTAAAGGTTTTTTGAAATCATTCCAATGCCTTCCCCTGTGACATCGCAATATCGCAGCACGACTGGGAGGCGTATTGCATTGATCGAGGTAGCAAGTTGCTAAACTACGGAAAATTAATTTGTAATACAGTGGAAGGATGCAAAAATTTTATGACGGCTATGATTTAATTATAATCTTGTTGTTTTATATGCTTCTTTCTAATAAAATTACTGCAGATAATCAAACCTATTTTTCCAGTTTATTTTCTCAGTTCTGATTTCTATTCTTGTAGTTCTATTTGACTTTTATATTTATCCAAAGTAAAATTTGGGCGATCTAAAAATGAATTCAGAAAGGCTAGTACAAAGATAAGGATTTGCTTAATTTCCTAATAACTTCTATGACAAATTACGATACTGACTATCATAAATGAAGTACTCATCAGCTTTGAAAATTCCTTTTATTTTCTTAAACCTTTATAATTGATTTTATTGGGAAATTTAATTTATTATTTTTCTTGAGATCCAAACTTTTAAGATTAAATCTTTGCTTTTTATTCAAATTATTTAGGCAGTAATGTTTTGCCATTTGCAGTTATAGACTGAATTTAGCTTATTTTAACATCTAATAAATAGCCCTATTTTTTTCTTTCCCCTAATTCAAAAGTTAAGGAAAAGAGCTATTTATTGGACATTTAAATAAAGGAATATTAAATAATCCGATTGAAATGTCCGAAATTTAGACTTGAAAACTGAAAAAAAGTGCGCATTAAGCAAAAATTAATGCAATTGAGGAAAATAAGAAATGGGACAGTTTAATTTTCATCCTTTTCTTAATATCTTTTAAACGGATGATTTCACATATCCCATCATCTTTTCCATTTATCCGGATATTTCTTTTAGATTAATACTTTTGCTTTCATTCTTATCAGTTCGTGATAAAAGCATATTTTTGATGGAACATTTTTTTATCGATAATTAACTTTTCGGTTCCTTCTTAAATTACATTTGGAAAAGTATTTTTAGAGTAATGGTCAGTTGTCTTGTTAAATGAAGCAATGGCTGATAAAAGCATCTCCGAAAATGACCAATTTACTGCTGCTCAAATAAGCTACATTATCGAAAGCACCATCTATGCTCTTGCTATGTTATTGGGCATTGTCGCATGCTGTTACACATCACGCAGGTATATTTTGTTATCAAAATCAAATCAGATGATTGTACTGTAGTACTACACCGCCCACAATTAGTAGATGAGATATTAATCTGATTGATTTCATAAACAAAAATTAGCACTTCTTGTATGATTAGCAAGAACACACGAAAATACTCTCAACACAGCTAGTGAATCATTATTAGCTATCTTTGTTCTTGGAATTAGCAGCGAAAATTTTATTTTTTCAATTTGAAGTAGTCAAATCACAAGGACGATTAGATGGCCCATATTATAAATCGCATTTTCTAGGCATAATTCGAAACTAAGCTTAATCAAATGTTTACCGGCTACATCGCTTTCTAAATATGACTGAAGCTTTTTGAAAATATTTGCTTTGAGACTGTCCACTCACCTTTTTGACGCCGTTCTAATAGGTTCAGGTCAAATATTTAATTTAATTCTATTAAAGAGGATGCTTACAGGGAGAAGTTCGAAATTATGAATTCATTCCGGCCACAATCTTTTCTCTTTCTTACTGTTTTGAAATTATTTATTACTGGTTCCTGTTGTTGACAAACAGATAGGATTGCGCGGTTGCTCAATTTTTCGGAAAAATTTGAAAATCATTTCGCAAAAAATTCGCATAATTCCGAACTTTTTCATACATATATACTTCTCATTGTTGTTGTATTTTTTGTCCCCATGCTGAAATTTGTATGACATAATTAAGCTTTAATTAGGACAAATATAGTACCAAATTAACTAATCATTAAAATCACAAAGTATTTTCAAGCCACACTTATAGTGTGGAGTTCTTAGAAAAGACTAATAGTTGAAGTATTTTAACTCTGCAAAATTTGGGAATGAGAATTACTTTCTAAAAAGCAATGATATTAAGTTCGATTTTTGGTAAAAAAGCTTGGAATGAAATGTTTGAAAACAAACTCGGTTAATTAATTCGGAGAATACCTGGTGTTTGGTCCTTAAATGAAAATTTCAAAAAAGTGTGATTTCAGGTTTAATTCCAACTGCAGAAGACATATTGTTTTGGCAGCAAGATTGGTAAGATTTAAAATAAGCCTGACAGTAGCAGATCTCATTGTGCTTTATGTCTATGCTCCAACACAAATCATTTGGATTACTACTTATAATGTAAGTTGCGCTCTTTTTCTTTTCATCCTCAAAACCAACAAAAAACATAATTGATTAGGCCTAACAAAGAATAGCATAGTTTGAGACACAATTGGGTTCTATTTTGCACTTCATAATATTCAAAGTTTTAGAATGGGAGGAGGAACATTTGAAATGTTGTATTTATAAGTTAAGCAAACACTCTTCCGGCAGATCCTTCAGTTTTATTGACAATAAAAATTCGGAAGAACAAAAAAAATGTTTTTTTGACTTATTTTGGCCAAAAAAAATATAAAAACATTAGGAGAGAGTCAGTGTGTAATAAGAAAGCTGAAGAACTTTCTGCACTTCCTTGTAACTGTCACATTCTCGAATACATTCAATCTGTTTGCATCACCTCAGCGAGCCATTCATTTCCTAAATTATCTGAATCACTGATATTTTCAGTGGTATGGCGGTGATTTTCTATGTCGTGCGACAAAATTCATCAATACATTTTCACTTCATCTAACAGCTAATATGCAAGTGCTTATTGCTGCAGATCGTTTGTATATCACAACGCATTTACGTCAAATCCATCAAGTCTGCCTTTGTTTCTTTTTAGAAAAATATACATCTTTTCTATTTGCTACATAAATCCTACTGTGATACTTTCAAGATATTCAGGAATTGATGAAAATTGTTTCCAGAAATCACATTTTGCAACGAATCAAATGATAACGCTAGCATGGATACTGGCTATCGCTTGCGCTCTACCTCAGTTTTTCGTCTTTCATGTATATGTCTTACCAGATGGTAAACCACAGTGTGTTTCTGTTTGGTTTGTCTTTTATATTCTCTCTGTTTCAAAATTTTTTCCACAAAATTTGTCCGGAACATAAGTAATAACGGTACTAAATTAACTGTTTTGCGAGTATTTTTTGAGATGATTAATTCTTTGCGATTTCAAATTATTTCAGGATTGTTTCAGGACAGTGATGAGGTTTCGTGAATATTTGCAACAGGAAGTAGCACAAAAACATCATCTAAAACAAACACCAATGGATTGGATCACTACTGATATCAACATAACTTTCGCAAAAGGATTTGATCATATGAGTAATGTTGGTGATATATCACTAGTGAATAGCGATACGCTAAAAGTTTTTGAGCATGGTAAGTGCCACAGGACTTTGTTTCTGGACATTTGCGTTATTCTTTTTATTTTATCCATAGGTTAAACTGTTGTCGGTTGTTCCGGTTGGTCTCAGCTGATAAAGATGTGCATTGTTGCTCGACTCTTCCTGATTATTTTATCATGCCTCAACAATAAAATTTAGCGAAACCTATCGGGCTACCAAAATTCGATGTCTGGGACCATGAAATGTCAAAGCTGCTGCAATATTATCAAACTTGATTAAATCTTTCTCACTGTATCCGACATGCTTCAATGCTAGCAATAAATATGGCAACTTTTCCAAAATGCGAAATGATACGGAAGTGATATTTCAGAGTTACAAAGGCTCGATTAAACTTCGAAATCGAAGTTTTATGTGTCCATTACAATACTCAGTTGGACAGTTCCTGGAAAGATATGAAACTTTCGCATAGCAAAAATTATGCGAAATATTTTTGTGAAACTTGATGCTTTCTCAGTTTTTCAGCCTATAATGCACTTCATTTGTTCTCCATTTATATATTACCGTACTCAGTTGAATTACTGTGTTATGCTATAATGCTAATTCTGATGAAGCAATTCCACAGAGATGGGAACGATAAGAAGACTCGACAAGAACGGTAAAACCCAACAAATCTTTTCTCATCAAGCATCTTTTCCCTTTCAGAAGCAGTGTGGAGTGAAGCAACTTGAGTTTACTGCAGAAGATATCTCAGAATGTGCGGAAATGTTAAATAAATCCAGTTACATAAATCACTGTTCTTTTGGTGAAGTGGAAACGAAATTATTGGATAATATTAACAATGCGCAGTTTGTTTAGTTAAGTGCCTATTAGTAACAAACAGGGCTTGGCTAAGTACTGGTCCAATAGAAGGGTATATTTCTTTAGATAGGGAAAGTTGAGCAAGAACATATTTAATTTGTTTTCTTTCCAAGTTAAACAGATTAGACCAAGCTAGCAAATCCAGCGAAACATGTTCATCCGCAAATTCATATGAGGGTTCTAGATTGACGGAATATTCAGTTCGATATTCGAGGAGATTCCTCATAATGGATTTCCAATAATGTCGGAGATGGAATATCAAAGAATTACACATCTTTGTGTCAAAGAAAATTCAAAAAAATCAATGTTGCCCAAGTTTCAGGCATTGCTGGTTTCAACGAACAAAACATATGTCGAGGAATTTTACTTGCAAATTCTCCATTGGTGATAATCCTAGCACAGGAGGTAATTTGATTCGCCAACATTTTTGTCGTTTCTTTAAGTTCGCATTTCAATTTTTTCTTTAAAATATGTCTCATTTCTTGTAACATTTTCAATAATTCATCGTGAAATGGGCAATGATACTTCAGTGTTTCCATATTCTACCAAATGTTTCAGTTTGGGACTTTCATAACACACTCTATGGGTTTCATACTAAATAAAAAGTTAAACGTTGGTCGGGTAATTATCTTCCTTTACTCACTTTAATATGAAATGTTGTAGTGATAATGAAAGCAGCTACTACTATGATAAGTGTAGTTTCGTTATCAACAGCTCAAATTTTAGATTTATTGCGACATTGGGATGCAAACACTGGAACCAATGATGCCAGTACTATTGATATAAGTGGTAAATCTAACCGGAAACGGAATCACCCTTTGTCCATGCCTACATTAAAGCTTTTTAATCGACGATGTAATGAAACTCTGGCAATAGAAGAAGCAAAACAGCGACGATCTTCAGTTGCGTGGAAAAATACGGTTGCTTTGGCACGGCGGAAAACTCGACGAAAAGTTCGATTCCAAACTCTATATTTCTAAAGTTTTTGTGACATAGGGACAGATTTCTCTTTTTCCTACCTACCAACAAACTTTTTCTTCTAATTTGGAGTGATACATCCGTCAAACCAACCCTTTGGATCAGCCATTCAAGTCTGTTTTCATGCCGAATATGGCCGCTCTCTCTAGAGTTCATAAAATTCAATCTATTTGGAATTACAAGTTCCAGTTTTTCAATTTTAAACTTTTTATTCGTAATCGTGCAAATACTAATTTTTATATAACTTCTAAAATCTCCCACCATCTCCTCCTGATTCTTATTTTTCCTACTATATCATTCCAGAATTGTTGCAATTCAGTTATAACATTCTAGAATTGTTGTTTCAGGCTTTTCTGATGCTTACACTAAATATGATATTTTGGACACCGTATTGTGTCATGGGTATTTTGAGCACCGTTATGGAATTTGATCATTCTAGTTACGATTTCTTGAATGCTCTTGTTGTCCTTAATGCCGTTTCCAATTTACTACTTTAGTTATTTTATCAATTGCTTCAGACTGTTTACTCGTTCATGCACTTTTTCTGAAAATATTTTTGAAATAGTATAAGTAAAATAGTTACTACATTGTTTTTGATAAATCTAAATTGAGTAATTAATTTAAGCAGTCTTTGAAATATACGGCAAGATCTCAAATATCTCTTTAATTTCTGGTATAAAATTTACGTTGAGGATACTTTCTTCAGAAAGAATCCAAGCTGCCAAATCTGTAATAATAATGTGCATTTTTATTGGAAAAAATTCAACAGCACAACAATGCATAGAAGGAAAAGCATGCTAAAAATAAAGGAGAGATCATTACAAAATTTTTCGGACCAGTGAATTTAAATGATTTTAATTATGATTAGTAATACAGAGAAACTTCGCAATCCATCCAATTTTTCCAGATTCCAATTACATTGCAAAACTTTTCAAATATTTCAAGTACCTATAAAACAGTCTGTGTAACATGTGATCGTGAGGTGGAACCATCAATTTGCTTTTCAACATATTCATGATATACTTCTTCTTCCCTTTCCTCTTCTGGAAATGTAAATCTACAACTAAACACATAACAAATTATAACTGAAATGACGGCTAGGAACTGGAAGCCAGCACTCGTCAAATGAAAACTTTGTCGAAATGCTTTATTGTCATAGATGACACAGTTACCACGATCATGGGGACAGTTGCTGTGCCACAGAAGACAATCTTCATCAATAATCCAACCAAAGATTATCGGACCCGGAATAAAGCCTGCAAAAAAAAAAAACATGTGGAAATTATTCAAAAATTCTAATGTCACTTATATTCTTTTTTGATATTTGGATGCGCACTCAAACCATTTTCATTGCCATGATATTCAAAATATATGCTCAAACCATTTTCGTTGCCATGATATTCAAAATATATGTGTTTAAACCTCAAATTAAAGAAAATTTAAAAATAGACTAACAAATCCATCGAACACTGATTACAAAGAAAAGTTCAATGTACTCTCAATGTGAGTGAGTAAACAAGAAAAAACAATTCGCAATTACCCATGATATTTGTGATGCAGGATGCAAAGCTAAGTGCCAGAACCTTCTCGTCATCATACACAGATCTGCAAAGATAAAGTAATTTTATCAGGCAGATAAGTAAAAAAAATTTTAGAATTTTTTAAAGAATAGCTTTGGAATTGGACAACTCGCCGCTCACTGCAACGAATTTCAAATTTCGAAAGAAAATAAATTTGCAATAAATTCTAAGCTCCTTTTAAACTGCAATTACAGACTTTTTTTGTGAGTTGTTGTCAATGTCAAGCCCTTACTGTGAAAATTTTGGCTGCACATTTGGAATATACTTGATAGCATGCTGGATGTGAAGCAGATTTTTGCATTCCGAACTTTTGTTAGAAGTTGGTGGACACAGCCATTAGGACAATATCAAAAATTTAATTCGTTTTAAATAGTAAACCAGAATGTATTAATTGCCTACTGCTATTATTCCAAATAAAATTTCACAAAAAATAAACCTTAATACAACCATCATCGTTGTCATGAAAAATAAATTGCCAAAAAATAAGCCTGTAAACGTGATAGCAACGTAAATGAATACAGCATTACATTCATCCACAAATAAACCGGTTTCAACTGGACCATTGTCAGCACATAAGCACAAGTCCCACTGGAATAACTAATAATATATTCAGAAATTTGCCATTTATATTAAATAGGTTATTTCAAAATAAGATAGGAAGAAAATTTTTAAATAAGTAATATCATTTTAACATTGAAAAAAGCAGTTGTGAAGTGGAATGTTGGCAGAAGAATAGGTGAACACAGAAGAAATCTATAGACTTCTTCTGAAGATCATTTAGACTATTAGATAGAATCCTAATTAGAGTTTGTAACCTTCTCTCCTGCTATCACTTTCCTTTCCATAAGCAATGTGAAATAGGATTTATTAGATAATTTCAAATCCACTAATGACAGGAGTTAAATATAGGGATTAAAAATTATGAATTTATTTGTAAATGTGTACAAGGGAGGGATATGCGAATTCTATAAAATACAAAATTTAAACATACCTTTTGCAAATGAGAGTTATAGTCGCGACATCCTGCATGACATGGTGAGAAATAATTTGTTGTGTGATAATTTACTGGATTAAATAGATCTACTTGACTGCATTGGCATTCAAAACTACATTCTAAGTTACCGTTGAATTTCTCTCTAGAAACAATTTTAAAAGAATGCTCAAAAGGTAATGAAACATTGTGAGCGTAGAAAAATGCTCGAAACGCTTCAGCTTAAAAGGAAACGGAATTAACGATGAAATGTGACTAACTCATTGATAGCACCAATAAGGAGTTGTTTCACTTGTGGTTCGTCGCAGCCAACTATAGCACCGATCAAGTAAGTGATTACAATAATGGACCAAGTGGCAATCAAAAAAAGCAGCGCTTTTCGAGGTGATGGATTGAAATTCGTCAGCAAATAACCACCCAGTGCTGTGCTAACCGCTATACTGCCAATTGATACTATACCTACAAAAGCTACAATTTCAAAACTGACAAATATAAATTTTCCAACTGCATTATGCCACACTGATCACTCTTACAGCCTACATTCAAGCTGGTTCCAGCTTGTTTCTTTTGTCTCAGGTAAAAAGTATTTCATACTAGCAATAATTTACCAGCATAAGTATCAGCAGCTGATGCGCTTCGACCAAACTGTGTTTCGATATATTTCGGCAAATAAGTGCTATAACCACTAGTAAGGTATGAACCAAACATCCATCCAATTATCATTGATGTGAACACCGGATTCTTTATCAATCTCGGAAATTCTAAGAATTTTTATCACTACTTTTTCTGATGTTTCAAAAAACATTGCCAAATAGTTTTCGAGTAGTCTTGAAATATCTAAAAATACTTCAAAACTTCAATTATGAAGTAATTAAAAATAATATGAGCGAATATTTTTTGTGTGGAAAAAATTAATAATACCGCTGACAGTTGCTTTTAGTTGTTCACAAAATATTTCTTCCGGTCGTTCGTCGTTTTCGGAAACAATGATCTGATGATCATCATGATCATGCTGACATCCTTTCCTACAACCAAAATAAGAACAAGTCAGATAAGTGAACCTATGTCATATGCAATAAGTAGAAAAATTTCTCTCTCTCAAATTTTTGGGTAATAACTAGGGTTTATCTAAATAAAGTAGTGCCTAGAGCAGTCAGCATGTTAATAAGATATTACTCCTGGTATACTTGAGTTTTTGATATTATAATCAAATAAAATAATCAAAAAATTATAATTAAATAATATTATTAGCATTTTTTTTTTTTGTTGATGTTAGAAGATAGTGAAGCAACTCGACCTTAGTTGCTGCATTTCAAACGAATTTGAATCATATTGCAACAGCTTTTTGGGGAAGCAAAGTAATGGTATGGCACCGGTCAAATAAAGCAAACCAAAAATGATGAAACCAAGCCACCAAGCTCCAATCCATTCATCGCTATTGATTGTCGCACTTGAAGGTACTGTAAGAAAAACTCATTTAAATGAAAACTACCTCAGCCAAATCACTGATTATCTTTAAAAAACACTACCTTTCTCGACTCTTTTTGTAACATTTGATAAAACCCCGAATTAATCGTTATCGAAGAACCCACTCGTGGAATGTATAAATTTTACTGAATCAGACGATCATTTTTAAAGTATCAGAAGCAGTACCATCAACCATTGTCGTATTTAACCTTGTCACAAATGCACTTAATGCGAATCCAAAAGCTGGCGCAAAGGCATACATGCTGGATAACAAACCTGCAATAGTAACGTTCTAGGTGTGTTTGATCGTTGCAAGATAATCACTCTCGTTTTTAAAAAAAAATATTTTTTTTTTGAAATTCTTGGATGGTAACGAACAGCCTCCTTTTGTTCAAAACAAAAGTGGAAGTAAATAAAGTTCGGAGTTTTATGTTATATTATTCGCCATGAAGGAATGATGGGCATTATTTGCAGGTAAAAAACTGTTGAAAAAATACTCAAGTAAAATGGTGATTTTGTTTTATCTGCCAAATTATTGTCCACGTAAACATAAGCCACTGTATTGAATGGCGCAGCGGCAATGCCAGCTAGGATTTGGCCAATGATCAAAATACAAAACGCCAAAAAATGCTCATCCTCTTGAAATTCACAGTTGTGGTCTAAGTCAACAGTAACTCGTGATGGATCGCAAATATTTCTGAGAATGTAATCGTGCTGTAAAACGAACGAAATTTTTAAGAAAATTAGTAAAAATGTTCCTCTGGAGGAAGCCAAAGCTTACTTCCAGGCCGTGTTATTGTGTCATTAAAGATCTGTGATTCCAGAGGATGGGTTTGGGCAAATACAAAACAGTGAGGAAATCAAATAAATGAACATTCTCATATCATAAAAAACTCCAAAATAAGAACTTCAAGGGGAAAATAAAGTGGGAACTGACTTCATATGATAGCGATGCTTCAGTGGATGATTTCGCTTCAAATAATACCATCGGTAAAGCCAGTATAAACATCGAAACTGCGCTAAGTAACACTCCTGCGATATGGCCATAAGTAACTGTTTTGCAAACCAAAGCAATTTTCACGCCATTCATTTTCTTAACGCATTATAAGACAAAAAGTCCAAAGTTATAAAGAAATATAAAAGTTAGTAGAGAATTAGCATCCTGAAATGTTGTTACCTATGGCTGTAATCCTGGGTAAATGTTTGTCACTGGCCAGAAAACCAATTAGCATCACAGATATAGTATGGCCGACATCATAAAATGATAACAGAGCACCGGATTTTTTACTCGATATGCCAAATCGTCGTTCCAGATTTGTTAGTATGCCAACCACGTATGCAAGATAGGTACCCTGTAGAACTTTCTCTTAGAATTTCTGATATAAACCAATTTCTGACAATTTCTGCAAAAACATCGCCAGTTCACAGCACAACTATAAAGTACGGTACTGTACATTACAGTGTGGCACAGTACTGCAAAGTGCAGTAAAGTGTAGTACAGTATTGTTCACAATGCAGTACTGCAAAAGCATTACCAGTGCACAGTATAGTTATAAAATAACCTCAAAAATAAGCACATTTGGAGAACGGCGAAATTAAAATTGTAACGTTGCTGAACGAACGGTACGAATGATCATTCCGGTTGTTCCGGATGTAAAGGAATAGATACCTGAATAGCGATCACAAACAGCATTGTAACCAGGAAACATTTCACAGAAGGTGCCATTTTCATCCGCGATGACTGTCGTTTTCGTGGCAACAGTATTGGTGCTTCACTCTGCATTTTTGGAAACCTTTTTGGGAAGATTAAATTAGTGGATTAGCAGCGATCGGAGGAGCAACCTTAGAAGCAATAATAAAAAGGATTGGAACTAAGGTTTTATTCTCATTCTCCTCAGCAATGAAAGGAATGAAAAGAGGAATTTCATATGGATATGGAAAGAAAAGTGAATGAATGGATGGATAGATAGATAAAGTTACTGATAAGACTAGATAGAATGATCGATTAACTGATAAGAGGAGACATCAAAAACTGAACTGAAGTATATGAAATGGAATAATTGCGAACTCAGCAAATTTTACTGACTGATGTGACTGATACACTACATCATCAGATAGAGACAGCATGGATCGACGAGTAACTTGACTAGAGTCTTAGTTGTCATCTCCCGAAATACATCTTACATTCCTCTAATAACTTGCATGGGGTATTGTATAGGGTATCGGATATCGTTGTTGACTCATTCATTCTCCATCTGATACAGTTTTATGGTGAGTCAACTTAGAAATGCGACAAATGGATGCAAAAAATGCGCGGAAAGACAACAACTGATGAGTCATAAATGCGTGATTCAAACATTGAAGGGAAATGAATGGAAAGAGAACAAACCAGTTTCTATAACACCTGTTGATATCAGCTGTACTCCAATGATTGCTATTTTAGTAATGGGTAGACAAGCATGCATGTACACAATTCAAGACACTCATAGTTCGATAAAAGCAATAAATGATGGGAAAGACAACCTGTAATGATCAGAGTTAACTTGCACGGGATAATCACCTATCGTTGTAAAAAACTTAAGCTGAAGAGTAAAACTGATGAAACGTCATCATATAAAACAGTAATACGTCTCGAGTTGAAGTTTGATATGAGGTACAGAAGTGGCTTTTAACTCTTTTTAATTAGTATATAAACTTTATTAGTTCGTGTGAAAGCATAAAAACGACAAAGTGTAGAAAGTTAAGAAACATATAGGACTGACAAGGATGTCATGTCAGGTTCAATAACCCAGATGAGAAAAAAGGAACAATAGGGTAGTGCTTGTTGTACTGAAATGCTTGATGATTTCATTTCAGGTTTTAACTAGCGTGAAAGGAAAGACAAAAAAATAGTCTTAACACGAGTGGAGGGATCCGGAAGCTTTTTCCCTACACACGGTCATAAATTGAAACTACTGATGAGGGGAAATTTACATTTCAAAAAGAGATCGAATCATTTACGTTACCTATCATTCCTTAAATAAATGACCATATTTGTATCAAAATTCTCAGGTACCGAAGTAATCAATTTGAAAAGATAGACCTGCAACCTGCCATGATCGTCCCAATCCGTCCAATCGAAATTTTCCGTCTTCTTTGCCTAAATATTACTCTTTACTGTTAATAGAACTTAAGTTTTGCTATTGTTGCATTTAAATAATTCAAATAAGTAAATTCTCACTTCAAAAATTAATTGATACAGCACGCAAAAATGCAAATCACCGTTGACTCTATAATTTAAGCGAAAACTTGCCAGCAGTTCTAAGAAACATTTGTGTCTGTAAACCATTTCGATACTTTAGCCGAAACTTTTTGTATCCTAAAAAGTATAAAGTGAAATGTTTTGTCTATGAATTTTCGGAATTACAGAAGTTATGGGAATAAATTTTGTCGTCGGTGTTCTCATTGAAATTTAAAATGACCACAACCAAAGACAGTGTCATTCAAGTTAATATTTGCAATGGAATTAATTATTTGTAGTTGCAAATTACTGATCCTGAATGTGCATGTCATCGAACGCCAGTTGGTGATTTAGCTCTTATAGAAGCAATAAGAACAAAGCTATTAAGAGCTTTCTAAAAGATTTTTCTCCAAGTTTTTAAAGAGATTTAACTAATCTTTGTCGCATCTTATAAATATTTAAATTAATTTTTTGCATTCTCTGCAGGTTAAATTGTGACTGACAATACCTAATCCCATAATTCTGACTTTTGCCATGTAGAAAGGATTTAAGACTTTTCATCATTTGATTCCTTGCTTTGGCCTGAAATAAATGTAGAATGTAACACAAACACTCTAATGGTGGAAATTCCGAGATAAGGAAATGGTTAAAATTTATTCACACAATCCAAATTTCTGAAAGGTGAAACATTTGACTCAAAAAATTTCTGTGTATTCTTTAGAATGATCCAATTGTAGAAGGTGCAGGAAATTTAGTCGCCGCTACTGTGTGTATTTAAAAAGTTTCATTTAAAATGAGAAATCTGGAAAAGATTGAAATTTCTCGCCAGATCTTCCCTTTTATGGCAATGAAAAAAGCGATCAAATCAAAGAAACCGTATTGAAATGAATTCTTATAGTGAAATAGCATCATCTAAGCTCGTCCGACAAATTAATGATTCTGTTTATATGAATGAGGCCGCGAATTCGTGAACAAAAGTGCAAAAGGTCAAACCAGTCACTTAGTCACATTTAAAAGGTTAAAAATCATACAAAATTCTGCAATACAGCATATAATTTTTTTCAGACAAATTTAGTGACATCTTTTTTAATCTGAGTAGTAAATGCTGATTACATGAGTCTTGAGTTGAAAAATGCATCAAAGTTGTTAGAGGATTGAGAATTATTGTTATACTCTAGTGATTCCCAACCATTTCTTGACCACTGGTTTTTTTATTTGTATCAAGAAGGGAGGGACTATAAGGTTCAAAAATAATAAATTCTGTTAATTTGAGAATAAATTTTGACAACGGGAATTCGGTACTTATAGTACAATATTATAGCCGAATAAACATCAATCGCCGACAAACAAATCGAAATATAGCTTTAAGAAAAACAAAAAAGAAAATAGCCTCCACCTGTTTTTATTCACGCTCCGGCGCCCCGACGGACCATATTTTAATTCTCGCGGCCACCGGCTAGAGACCGATATTATAGATAGATGCATTGCAATTTGAAATATAGTACTTCTTGTCCCTTGATATTCAATGTGATCGTTTCTTTCAAATTTTTATTAGAATTATTGCAATAGATAAAAGCATTATAAGAGGCTAATTTCAAACTAATCACCAAAAAGATAAGAAAACGAAGAATTGATAGCGTTATCGTTAATTGACCAAAAATCTAAGATAATGAGGAAAGGTAAAAAAACACTAATTTCCTTTTAGAAATGTGGTATTTTCAGAATAATTTAAATATTTTAAAAGTCGTTTGCTATACTGCTTTTTATTCGTTGCAGTTGAAATGCTTATATTTTGAAATTTACAAAAATTTGGAAACTGGCAGAAGAGGAAAACGATTTTTGAGCAGTGCAACATTTCTTCCAGATTTACAAATTTTCACAGCAAATATTTCAAGTTTTTGAAAAATAATAAATTTTGAATTGAATTGCAGAATGGTTACTAAATTGAAAATCTTTAAAGAGTAAAAGCCGTCAAATTTGTTTATCGGTAAAAAAAATAGGTACTTTTAAAATTGGATAAATATATTATTATGACAGTAGATGATTTGCCAATCATTTAAAATTATGACAATCAGTGATAACATGAATAAAATGCCTATTCAATATTTTTAACAAAGGAATACTTATTTTGTAATTGATTCAAAAATTAAAATGCAATAAGTACCAGCTAGAAAGCCAGTAAAATGAGTAATAAATCGAGAAAAGGAAGTAGTAGGAAAGAATAAAATTTGTATTCGATAACAATGTAATAAAGAGGTCACCGTTCAAATAAGTACTGAAACGATCATCAATACATGTCAACTTATATTTGCACTGAAACAAATTCCATAAATATAAGATAAACTCCACGATATCAGAAAAATATCAGCAGAATCCCATGAAAATGAGACCACCAAATCAGATATTTCTCCTATATGGAGTTACTGAGATATCTTAATGATTATGGGTAGTGAGTAATGGTAGTTACTGAATGTGTTCTAATATAATTTAGGCTTATCGCTAATCTGATATATCGAAGTAATCATCGTCATCCATTTGTCGATCCATCATTGTCTCTCATCACTTCCATGCATCAGACAGGCCTTTTTTTTTTTTGAAATGGCGCTCACGTGAGTCCCTGAGACTTTATCATTTAGCAGCTTTACACCTGAGAAAACATTTCTCGTTATCGTTTATCGTGGGCTGAATATACTTGGCTAAAGGTAGTGCAAGCATGAAGTGAGGACACTCTTACGAAAGTGATGGAAGGGGGTGCAATTAATCGTACCTGTCATAGTCGTTTCGAGTTTTTTAATTAGCTTTCTGAATGTTGTGTCTTTACTCAAAGATCGTACATATTCTTTTTTCTGAGTACACTTTCTCGCAACGCATTTCGTATTACAGTGAGATGGTAATTAAATTAGTTAAGTCAATCTAACTTTGTCATTCATCAAAAAACTTTCGTTGATATTTCCACATGATCAATTTCACCTATAAGAATTGACAGAAGACATAAGTGGAGTGAATAAATTTCCGAGAGATTACTATCAAAGTGATAGCATTTCCTTTCCGGTATTCTTGAATGTCCCACTCGACGGTTTTCAAAAGCATTAGAGATGAGTTGTATACATTTGGGACGCTCATCATTTTTGCAGTGAATTATTGATCAACTGTTTCTCATATTTGCTCCTAATTTGGCTTATTTACTTCACGTTTATAATTAGACACACAAGAAGATTATATGATGAACTACAAAATTTCTTCCAATTAAAGAATCATAAAAATCCTTTCTATCCTTATTTATCTACAGTGGTACGTGTATTATTAATCAGCGGTTCAGTTTTAGTCTTATCACGATTATCGGATAATGTGGTATCAAACTTCTTAGTGGTGTGATATTCCATAAGTCGTAGTCTCCAATAAACAGATATCATTAAAAAGGGACTATTTTAGATTACGAAAATGGCTTAGGATTGACAGATCGCTTTTCATGGAGTAGCTTTTGATCTTGAAAACATCTACCAAATTTGATAGAAATTCTAATTAGTCATTCTGCACTGGCATTGACTTCTGTTGAAACTTTATAGCATTAGCTTTTCTGAATATAAAGTAAATTGTCGAAAATATATAATAAAGTGAAATTGGAAATAAAATGAAAATTAAGTTTTCATTTCATTCATTTTATTTATTCATTTCATTGAAAATGAAATTATTTTTACTTACAAATCACTTATTTCGTCAATAACTTAAGAACCACTGTTGATGTCTTTAAAGCGATGAGATGGAGAAGTTAATATGTGCTGTACAAATGTACGATTGGGGACGTCAAGGGAGCCAAAGTGAAGTGGCCACTTTAATGCATGCCGCCGACAAACAGTTCGTTATTGATGAAACGAAACCATATGCTGAGGTTTATCTTAGTTTTATCCATCTGATCTACTGCTTAACTGCTTGTTCAGCTTTATTAATTAATCTTCCATCATTAAGTTGGTGACAAGTAAACTTCGCGTTTCAAGATATCAATGAAAATTCTGCTGCAAGCATCACTTTCATTCTGACTAATTGCAGCTTTAATTTCATCATCTCAAACTTGTTCACGCTTTCCAACGGAAGCATAGTTAGATAAATGTATCAAATTTAGGACTTTAACTAGCAAATTCCATGAACATTTTAAATACAAATTCATTTTTCCGATCACAATAACATTTTTACTAAATTTCTTTCAGTTATGGATGGGCGTGCATCCAAATGGGCCATCAAAGCTTGTATCGGACGGGAAACTTTTGTCAGAAAAAATTGCAAAGTCAAAGTTTTACCTAGGGGATCATGAAGGTGGATCACTACAGTTTTTGTTCAAAGTGCTTTCGGTGAATAAAGCACTGTCAATACAGAGCCATCCGGATAAGGCTTGTTTATTTATTTTGATATTTTTTGAAGATTTAGTATATGTAAGGTTGAAAGCTTTCTCTTCTCTATTTTACTAACAATGTTAACCAGCTTTTTACGAAGAGCAATATAATTTTCTGCTACAATATGGTATACGTTTTAGAATTTGAAAACCTTTTTTCTACTGAAATCAACAGATACCTAGGGGATCATGAAGGTGGGTCACTACAGTTTTTGTTCAAAGTGACAAAGTGTGTCAAAGTCAAAGATCACTAACATCGAATTAAGGAAGCGCAAACGTAGATCACGTACATATAGCGTGTAGTTGTGCTTTTTTGTGAGCAGCGAATTTTGTTTCTCATTCCAATGAAGTTATTTTTATTTGTTTGCAGGAAAAAGCAAAAATATTGCATAACAATGATCCAGCACATTATCCTGATAGCAATCATAAACCGGAGATGGCGATTGCTTTATCGGATTTTCAACTTTTGAGCGGTTTTCGTCCCTTTCACGAAATTTGTGACAATATTAAAGGTTTCCGCACTTGAAACTTTCTGTGTGCTGTTTGATGGTTATTTTAATGTGTAGAAATTGACCAAAAACGAGTTTTTGTTCCCAACAGTATGTTATGGCATTTGATTCAACTATTTTTGCGATTCATTGTCATTCTCCCTGCAATATGTTTATAATTATGTGTCATTCTTTCTAGCTTTTCCCGAACTGTGGAACTTGGTAACCTCGAAAGGTGCTATTGAAAAGTTGGAAACTGGAAATGATTATGAAAAGCGCGAAGCCTTGAAGGAGATATTTTCCGAATATATGCATTCATCAAAAGAAAATATATCTAAAGCAGTGCAACAGTTGGCAGTACGCTTAAAGAACAGTTGGCTTTTGATCGCTACAAAGAAATTTTTGCTTTGAAAGGCATCCCAAACCGGAAGCATCGGACATGAAGAGTTTTCGCTTTTACGAACATCCGAATCCTGGAAATAATGGTTGTCTTTTTCTGTAGCACCTCACAGCGACAATTTCTCGGTAAAGGGATTCATTAAGTTTAAATATGTGATGCATTGTAAAATATTGCTCAGTTTCATTTGTTTGATTTCTTTTATAGAGGACGGTCGTTCTGATCTCGAAGAGTTGCTTCTCCGACTGAACAGTGAGTATCCCGGTGATGTAGGTGTGTTCGCACCACTTTTGATGAATTATTTTACGCTGAGAGAAGGAGACGCTGTTTTTATGGGGCCAAACTCTCCTCATGCTTATCTCCTGGGAGGTGAGCGAAGAATTTATGTTGTATTTCCACAGAAAGCCATCAAAAGAAGCTATCTTTAATCTAAAAATTTCTACAGATTGTGTGGAATGCATGGCTTGTTCAGATAACACTATTCGTGCTGGACTAACATCGAAATTCAAGGATGTCAACACGCTTTGCTCGGATTTGACATTCGAGATGATTCAGCCACCATATTTTACTCCAAAAAATATTGGTCCTGGAATAAGAGAGTATGCGCCGCCGGTTCAAGAATTTGCTGTGCATGAATTAAGGGTCATTTCTAATAAATTTACTGTAGACAGGATTATTCCAAAGTCCTCGGAATATTATTTTGATGATCCAGTCCTTTAGTTTAGACCTGCATTCGTGTTGGATGAGTCCGAGTAATATTTACATCCTTGATCATTTCTGCTACACTAAAATGGCATATGCAGAGAGATGGAGTTGCTAAAACAACCCATCAACTTCTCGCAAATACTCGATCACTTCCATTTTTTTTTTTTCAGGGTGAAGCCGGTGAATTGCGAGATGTTGGTGCAAGCAGCATCATCATCGTAATTAAAGGCTCAACTGAAATATATAACGGTGCTGAAAACTTCAAGGCCAGCCGAGGTGAAATATACTTTGTCCCCGCGAATATATGCCGTGTGAATATTAAACCCTCCGGTGATTTTCTAGCTTATCGTGCTTTCACACCTAAAAGATAGAGAGCTACGTCACTTTTAGTGCTGTTGATTTTTGAAACTGTAAGTTGCCATGGAGCCTTTTGTTTTTCGGAAAAATAAATAGATCTGCAGACGTAGGAAACCTTTCGAAATCCTTCCTTTCGTTTCGAAAAAAAGAATTTTCTTTCGTTTTCCCTTTCGAAGTTCATCCTTACTGCATCTACTGCATATGCGGTTGTAGCTCTATACCGAACAAGATTGCAACTATCCAATAATATGAAGTGACTAGGGAATATTGCATCCATTCTCCCCTCTTTCATCTAAGAATTTGGTCTTATATACAAATAATAAAAGTAGTCTTCTGCTCACAATTATCACAGAATATAGTACGCGACTTTAATATGAGGATAAAATTACAAAAAAAAGATGAACGTAAAAATACAAAATATAAACAGTCGAAGATTTACATAATGTTTGTGCGATACTGTGGGTTAGCAAAAGAAATCTTAAAACATTTGAAGAAGACCACTCCTGAGGAGAACCCAGCTTACCGTCTCATTTTCTTCAACAGAGTAAAGGAACAAAATTCTTAAGACCATTCACGTACGGGTACGTTGTAGCTTACATGTATAGCCGAGAAATCCATTCTGAATCTTCCCTGGAAGGAAAATTTATTGAGGAAATCGACTGGAGTGTGCATTGCTCTATGACTTCATAACCGTCCTATGATTATTTCAACTTCGAGGAAAAACATCATGCCTGCGAACTCTCGAACTGAGGTGTAGGAAAATGTATTTCTTTAAAATGATGGACTAAACATAAGTTAATAACGTTAGAACGCAGAGAGACAAGAGGCAATTGGGCAAGGCTTAACATAGGGATTCAGACATGGAGCTGGAGAGACCTTTTCTGAATGGGAAGAATAGAAGGCGGAAAATTAAAAGCAAAAGATGAGAGGAAGAACCACAGAAAGATTTGGAGATTCGCAATTTAAAAACGAATAAAATATAATCTAGCTCAAAGCGTGCGATACAGTCAAAGTCGGAAGAAATTGAAGAAACTTAAATTCCAAACTTAAAGCATACATACAAACATAACCCAAGCATTCATATCATACAGTCAAACATAGAATTTGAATTACCATGAGAAGCCTCCCTCGCAAAATGTTTTTTCTGGAGAGTCAGGAAAAAGACGGAATGCAGTGTCACTGATTTCTTCAAAACTAACGGAAGAAAACTGAGCAGTCTGGCAAAAAACAATTAGTGAACTAAGGTCACTGCTGTTTGAAGCAATCACACCAAAGTTGTTGGAAAAGAACCACAAAATATCCTACGTAAAAGAAAGAAAACAAGTCGTTTAATTTCACACTAGCAAATGATGGATTCGACTGTACAAACAAGCCCAACAAAATACCCGTTTATAGGAAAAATTATACTTTAACTTTATCAAAACCTAAAAGGCTTCCTTTTTTTTTGGGCAGAATCGATAAAACAGAGAACCTCTTACATGAGGTCTTGAAACATGATTAAAAAGCGATGCTTAGGATTTAAAAAAATTGACACTGCAAAGTTCTTCAAACAAAACAAAAATAGTGATTTAAGTAATGGGGAAGCTCTTTACATAAAAAGTGGACTGAAGAAAGCAGACGGCTCTGGCAAACGTTAACTTGATCACGCATAAAACCGAAAGTTTGACTGGCACGGTGGGTCTTTTCTGGAAGGCTAATGTTCAAGTCTGGTATGCATGTTCGCAACGCATATTGCCCAAGTGATCGAACAGCTCCAAGAATCATGATAGAGGAGAGACTCATACAGTGACACTCATACGTAAAATGTCTTAAATATTTTCTGAAAATCATCGCTGCCCTTTGTAGATTAGTTTCACTTTACTACGAAAAAACACTACGATAAGCGAGCGTGGTTCGGTGTGGGATATTTCAAAAAGATGGCAGAATTACATGTGAAGACATACATACAAAAATCATCAAAAAACAGACAAAAAATATTCATTGCAAGAAACATACATACCAACGGGAAAAAAACTATCTGAAATAAAAAGAAAATAAATTTACCTCATACAAGATAGAGATTATAGCTTCTTGATTGAATAACAGACAAATAACTCAAACGGAACAATCAATCATTAAGCATTTTTTTTTAAAACAAATTAGGCAACTGAAAAGGGTACAAACAATCAACTTAGGGAACAAAAAAAATTTTGATAGATACAACAAAGGTCTCTCCACTTATATTCAAAACGGCATGAAGTTAATTCAACAAAAAAATAAGTTTTACAATTCGGCCGTTTCTGCACTAATTCTCCGGGACGACAAACAAAATACCTGGTGGGAATGGGTAGACAGACGGGGATTAAGGATTAGTGAAAAATTCTTCAAATGTCGACACCCTTGTTATTGGAACGAGAATCCCTCCGATGGAACATTCTGCTGAGTTGATTCAAAGAAATGATCGCCAGTCGCTATTCCATCATCGTCGGTTTCCGAAAAGTAATTATCGATGATCTCGTAAGCCAGCTTGTAGATTTCTTCACTTTCATGGTTTTGCAAATGTTCGATTTTATCCAGACCTAAAACGACATCATATATACAATTTTTTAGTTCTTCTTGTTCTTCAATATATGTAGCTCATGTAGCATTCAATTTGCCTTTCAACAACTCCCTGACAATTCAAACTTAGAACAGTGTCTTTTTGATTTATGTCAAAGTTCCATGAAAGTAATGCCGTTCACCAAATAAAGTCGCTTATATCTCCTAGCCATTAGATTCTTTAAAGCATCAATATAACCATCGCGATGTTCCCGATATGTTGCAGCACGTCAACAACATTTATTCTATGTCTTATAATCCAACCCTATCATCAAATGCACTACCATTCCACGATTGTTTGTTCCAGTACAGTTCAATCGATCAGCACAAACACAGCATCTTCCCCATAACTTCTTGACACACAAGAAGTTTAATACAAAAAAATAATTAGGCTAATATCACTACCATAAGAAGATATATCACCGAAGGAAGAATGTAGAATATAATAAAAATTTTATTCGAGACCATGCATGCGAATCAAATAATAGTGGATAATTCTACTTCCTCAAATAAAAAAATAAAAAGTTACCTCCGCATTCCTCAATCATTGTACAGATTGCTTCCGAGCGAGGTCCAGCCATCTTGAGAATATTGTTGAGGCCATCCAGAACAACCTGCACAATTTGTGAATCACGTATAGAAAGTAGGGCACAAAACGGTGGTATAACACCCTGTGAAACCATATATTCCACTTGTTCGGCACGTCCACTGATTGTTACATTCGAAACTGCCCATGCTGCTTCCTAAATCAGAGATGATTAACAGAAATTTAAGAATTGCACACATAATAAAGTGAAAAATTATTGTAATTGGAATAAAAACCTTCTGCGTTTGAAAATCCCCCTTTTCCAGTAAATGAATAATCATTGGCATTAAGCCAGCATCAATCACAGCTTGCACTTGAGCTTGATTTCCAGCGGTTATATTGGATAGGAACCAAACAGCTTCCTAAAAGTACCACAGTCAACTAAAAAGGAAATCAAAAACATATATCACACGAATCGCAAGAAGAAAATTCGAACGATATGTATCGAGGAACAAGCATAAACCTTGTTTATTTTTTCCTTCTGATGCGAAAGTAATGCAGGCATTTGCTGTAAAACGCCACAGTCCAAAACAAGTTGTGTCTGCTCATCCGTTCCAGTAACGATGTTTCCGACAGCACGAAGTGCTGCAGTTTGGACCTTTACTTCAGGATGGGAAAGAAGTGGAATCAAATTGCTCACAACCTGAAATCCAAAACAATTTAAATGATACTACAGTGCACAATATTTCTGACAGATAATCTTATAACTTCACTTTGGACAACTAAAGAACTTACACCGCTATTAATGACCATTTGGATTTGCTCATTTCCACCATCCGTGAGATATGATAATGCCCATACGGTATCCACCAATATATTTTGATCCGTATGACTTATCAGGGCAGCTAACGCAGGTAAAAGTGTTTGAACAATTTCTGGTGATGGTGGCGGATCCTGAAAAAGCCATCATTTAGCTGACTTATATTGGTGATGATTCAAATAACAGAATTAACGGTCCACGCAATTACATTTGTCACTAGAATTCTTTGAAAAAAATCATTGGAAAAAAACTGAAATATCAGACAACTAGCCTTGGAACGACATAAGTTGACGATAACCCAAGTAACATTACGAAGGAATCCAATCGGGATCCCAGGTGTAATGAATTTCAGCAGTGGTTCAACAATTCCAAGCTGAATACAGTAGTCGCGAAAATGTGGACCATCACCTGAAATTTCCACTTTTTCCTTGCCAAAATAAACTACCACATAGATCACCGAGCTGTTTCAAAAAAAGCAAAGAAAAAGAAATGACATCAGATTCAACTGCGAGCTTGCATCAGGCGTATTACAATTTATTGGCAAAAAGAAGAATGTATGCAGTAAAAAGAGCACATGGAACGAATCAAGTGAAATGTCTATATTCATTTGTTTCGGCAAGATTGAAGAACAATCCACTATGAAGCAAGCAATCAAGATAACTATGAGTTCAACTTTTTCCACATTTCGTTCCAACTATTCAATTTTGCCCAATAATTTAACAGTAGTTTCAAACTCTGGTACTCGAAAACGAACCAATAATATTTCCAAGAGCCCAAACAGCTTGCTCACAAACGTTCATATTGCCCGAAGACAGAAGTTCCAAGAACAAGGGCACAGCGCCAGCCTGAACAACAGACTGCGTTTGCTGCGAAGTTCCAGATGCAATATTTGTTAATGCCCATGCTGCTTCAAACTGCAGTGTTACACTGCAAAAAATGCAACGTAAAAATTTTGAAATAAGTTCATAGAAAATTTAGAATAATTTCCAACTTTAAGAACAAATATATAGGTGCAGAACACTTAATATAATAATCATGGTTTAATAAGCGGAAAGTAGTTGCATCTAGCGGAATCGGAGAAAATCATTTTTAAAAAACTCAGCAATCCAACATCCTCAGATAAATCTTTCGAGACGCGATGAAAAGTGATACAGCTGAAAACCGCAATCGGTCGCAATCTAACACCAGTGGGCTGAGAAAATCATGTATCACTGCTATGAAGATACCATATTGTTTGCATCTTCTTCGGTCGGAAAACTAGTCTTTCTTGACACAACATCCTTGAATAGCATGCTTCAAGTTCATATACTCTTACCTTAGTGTTAAAACCTACTTGTTGGAACTTAAACACTGCACCAATATCGGCAAAATACCAGAGGCAATCAAATCATCAATTGGTGGATTACGATCAGATGACAACAATTTTCGTGCCTGAAATACATCGACATCAACAATTGAATAATACGAATACTTTGTTTGCAACAAATTTTCCGGTGTATTAAGCTGATTCTTCACTGGCAATCTAATTCTTGGTTTTCCCAATTATCATACAATGCACTTCCTCTCGTTGTTGAAATCATTTCAATTAGACTTGACCAAAAATTTTTTAATACCCACTTGTTGCACAGCTGCGAGCTGCACCTCCTGATCCTGACTGCTTGCTCTCTTAACAATATCTTCCAGAATACTGCGATTGTATGTTCCATTAACAACTACACCCCCTGCACTCGTTGATGCATCATCCGAATCCAACGACCTGTAAGACTTGGTCATGCAACTTCCTTCTCTTATATAGGCTTTATCTTGGTGATGAACATTCCCCAACAGCTGCAGAAAAAACTCTAACGCCACAGATTTCTTTTTTACCACTCATCAAAAAGTAGTCAGCATAGTCAAAAAGACTGCACATAATCTAAAACTTAGCTGCTGTTACTTTAAGTACTAAGTAGTTTTGCGCTTTACTCTTGAATAACTTTACTTCTCAACATATTAATAATAAATTCACTTACTCAACAGGTATGTTACGACGCTTTGACAGTGTTTCTTCACGTTTATCTTTTCGAATTGAAATAATATTTTCCACACGACTCTTCCTCAGAGCTTCACTGTCCTTGCCCATATTTTTGTATTGGGTTTGTCGCGACTCCGTCATCTTCCTTTTATTTGTTATTCTAGCTTGGTGCTAAAGCTGAGAGGTCACTGAGCTGAAACTCTTGAAAGTGAAACAGAAACTCGTGACAATAAAATGGATAGTTTCAAGACACATAAATACTGTTCCGTCCATAAAGCGAAGGCGGCCAACTTTCCTATTGTAATAGCTTTGCTGGAATATTGCCGGATGTGAGATTCCACTTTGATTTAAGCAAAACCATCCCTGAAGTCACAGAAAGAAAGCTCTAAGGCCGTATTCCATGCTTCAAGACTGAATCCGAACAACAATTTCACTTCTCCTATTTATCATCAACTCCACTCTTTCAAATTTGTCATGAAATTTAGCAGCATCCCATTTCCAATTAGCCTCTTCCTTAAAAATACGTACAGCATGAATCTATCTGGCAACAGTTATGTCCACTGATAAAAGCACAGACTGATTCTCTAAAACGAACCATTTCGATATTCGCTTAGACCCATATAATTACATTAGACTTTCTCACTATTGACAACAAACCAATAAAGGTCAGACATGGTACTACTACAGTGAGTATTACTAGAACGTATGTAAAATATTGCCCAAATCATTGTGTTGCGTAACTGAATTCTACTTAATGTTTATGTCAATAATCCACGCAAATAGAGGTGGTATATTAATTCGATATGAAGAGAGTTATCCACACGTGAGGAATGCAGATCAGTCGTGCAAACAATATCCACGGACTAACCACCGTCCTAAAACAAACACCACCGCCAACTGAACAACCAACTTCTCCCTGACCTAGAACAACCAGCGCAAGCCGAACACGGCCGCATGTTTAATTTGAGGTGCTGCGCTATGAAATGCCTACCGTTTCACGATTTATTATATGAAATGCGGGATGGTTTATATTGATTACTGCTTATTATTACTTTCAGGATCTGTATTGTGATAGTTATCAGCTCAAAGATAGACTAGATTTAGCACACTTATATTCTCAGCTTTATTTTGGGATTTTCTGGTCTTGATAAGTAAACACCACTACATATTCATCCACTCCTTCCCACTATCCGAGAATAATTCCTGTTTAGCATAAGTTTCCTTTATCAGCTTAATCACTAAACTACCGGTTTAGCTCGCATAGTATGTAGTCGTTAATTCGAGTCTTTATAATTACTAAAAAATGGGATGGTCATGTTTTCCTATTACATATTTATGCACTCTTTGGTCATATTTCTTCTTATTACATAGTGAGTGTTCCAATATGGCCAGTCACTATTATTAACGATGTTAAATGATGTTAAGAAGTAAATAAATAGTCAGTGATTATTTTATTATGGCGAGATACTTCCGAGGATTATTGGATGCAGTTCATTCGATGTTTGTGTACTGATCACTCTGGCGGTTTCAGATGTGTGCACATGTAGCCGAAGAGCTCAAGGAGACTGGCAATAATTTTTATCAACAGCATCGTTATGAAGACGCTATCAGTGCCTATAGTCGGTTAGTCCTTTTAGCAGGATGATAACTTTTGTCTTTTCACGTTATGGGATCCACTATTGACCGTTGTTGTGGGTCAATAATCCCTTGCTGTAGTTCGCATTCTCACACACAAGGCATTTTATGTAAACGTCCACGCACTTATTGACTCAATTATTTTACTTCGGTAAATATTCACAAAAAAAAAAAATACTTGAATCTTGTTGCATCCCGCAACAAAATAGCTGTATTTCGTTAGCCTGTCTTTGGTTCCTTTCACCTTTGTATTAAGAAATTCTTACTCTGTTCGTTATTGTATTTTTATGCATTCTTTTCTTGTAGCAATTAGAAAAATCATTGATAAAATTTTACACATAGAG